AAGATTATGGCTAAAGTACAATGCAGGTAGTCCTCGGACTTACGGCCACAACCGAGCCTGAAATTTCTGTCGTTAAGTGACACATTTGTTAAGTGAATTTTGCCCCATGTTATGACCTTGTTGTTAAGTGAATCACTGCAGATGTTAAGTTAGTAACCTGGTTTGCTTCCCCACTGACTTTGTTTGCCAGAAGGTTGCAAAAGGGGATCACGTGACCCCGGGCCCCTGGAACTGTCATAAATACGAGCCAATTGCCAAGCGTCAGAATTTTGATCACATGACCATGGGGATACTGCAACGGTCGTAAGTGTGAACCATGGTCGTAAGGCACTTTTTTCAGTGCCGTTGTAACTTCAAACGATCACTAAATGAATTGTCGTAAGTCGAGGACTACCTGCAATGAAGGACCGTATTTTCCCCATCTTAGATAATGTATTATTTTATTTAGTTAAACTGATCATTTTAAACCAACTTTCATTTAAACCCATGGGCTTGGCATCAATTGGCCAATATGAAAAACCAAATGCCCAATCTCTATAGAAGTTGGGTCAGATCTAAATAATAATAATAATAATAATAATAATAATAATAATAATAATAATAATAATAATAATAATAATAATAATAATAATAGTAGTAGTAGTAGTAGTAGTAGTAGTAGTAGTCATCTAGTCCAACCTCTCTTCAATGAGATTTTCCTTGTTAAAGCAAGAGAATGCAGAAAAGACACAAGTAGGATAAACACCAGATAGTAGACAATACCCTAATCAAGAAAGTACTTACTCTCTAAAGAACAGCCTAAAAAATGAACCAGGAAGACTGCTACCAATACTGACAGGGCAAGCCACTTGTATATAAACAGAGAGTAAACCCTACTCCATTCTTGCATTGATGACATTACCTTGTTGGGTAATGAAATGTCTGCAAGAAAACATTCAAGCTCAGAGAGCATAAAGGACCCCACAGTTCAACCCTGAGCTATAAATATTCTCCACTACAGGATTAAAATGTTCAGAGCATATATTAAAGTCGTCTTCCACATTTGATTTGTCTCACTCACATGCCTTTCCCTTTGGGGTGTCACTATCACCACACGGGGTAGGTTAGGCCAGAAATTATGACTAGCCCTAGGTTTGCTTGATGAGGCTGGTAAGTAACTGGGGATTTGAAATTAGGTGAGCTAGGAAGAAGCCTGACATTGCAACTTAGACACCACATGGATTCTGAAATTGAAGAGAAAGAGAGAGTAATTATATGGCCTGCTTCTGATTACAATTAGCATGCCTGCTCCAGTCACTGGGTTCCCCAGCAAAGAAACTGTGATTTGCGTTTTAGTGTATCTCTCTATGAATGATAAGGCTGGCCATTAAAAGTGCAAATCAGAACTGAGAACACAGGAAGATCTCTGCTGGATCAATCAAGCATCCGTTAAGGCCAGAAGCTCCTTCCCAAAGTTACTAGAGAGGCAGGCAACACCTGAACTTTGTGCCACTGTGGCTCCAGACAAATAAAATCCAATGCTATGCTGCAGTACAGTAGTCCTCGACTTACGACCACAACCGAGCCCAAAATTTCTGCTGCTAAGCGAGACGGTTGCCAAGTGAATTTTGCCACCTGTTACAACCTTTCCTTGCCACAGTTGTTAAGTCAATCACAGCAATTGTTAAGTTAGTAACACGGTTCTAAAGTGAATCTGGCTTCCCTTATTGACTTTGCTTGTCAGAAGGTCGCAAAAGGGGATCACATGATCCCGGGACTCGGCGACCGTCATAAATATGAGTCCATTGCCAAGTCCATTGCTGCAGCTGCCAAAAAGGCCAACACAGTGCTAGGCTGCATTAACAGAGGGATAGAATCAAGATCACGTGAAGTGTTAATACCACTTTACAATGCCTTGGTAAGACCACACTTGGAATACTGCATCCAGTTTTGGTCACCATGATGTAAAAAAGATGCTGAGACTCTAGAAAGAGTACAGAGAAGAGCAACAAAGATGATCAGGGGACTGGAGGCCAAAGCATATAAGGAACGGTTGCTGGAATTGGGTATGTCTAGTTTGATGAAGAGAAGGACGAGGGGGGACATGATAGCAGTGTTCCAATATCTCAGGGGCTGCCACAAAGAAGAGGGAGTCAAGCTATTTTCCAAAGCACCTGAAGGCAGGACAAGAAGCAACGGATGGAAACTAATCAAGGAGAGAAACAACTTAGAACTAAGGAGAAACTTCCTGACAGTTAGAACAATTAACCAGTGGAACAACCTGCCTCCAGAAGCGGTGAATGCTCCAAGACTGGAAGTTTTTAAGAAGAGACTAGACAGCCATTTGTCTGAAATAGTACAGGGTTTCCTGCCTGAGCAGGGGGTTGGATTAGATGACCTCCAAGGTCCCTTCCAACTTTATTACTACTACTACTACCACTACTACCACTACCACTACTACTACTACTACTACTACTACTACTACTACTATTATTATTATTATTATTATTATTATTATTATTATTATTATTATTATTATTATATCTGAATTCTGATCACCCGACCACGGGGATGTTGCAAGGGTTGTTTGTAAGTTTGAAAAATGGCCGTAGGTCACTTTTTTCAGTGCCGTTGTAACTTTGAATGTCACTAAATGAATTGTTGTAAATAGAGGACTACCTACAGTTGAAGATTTCATCTTCTTCTCAAGACTACTGGCCACCGATAGACTTGACGTAGTCACTGAGAGCTAACGGCTATCATCACGTCTTACGGCAGCAATTTCCATAAACAAACTTGTTTGACCAAATCTGTGACAGTTCCCCAGCAGGTCTTACAGTTGCCGAAGTTGGACACCCCTGGTTTAGTTATTATTAAAGAGACAAACTCAACCGTGTTTCCTTCCCTGCTGTAAGCTGGTTGAAAATCATTTCCAAAGAAGTTACAACAAGCTTTGTGACTGTAAGCTTCGGGTTTCTGGCTCAAACTGGGGTGGAGGAGCAACTGCTATTAATCAGGATAGATCTGAATCAGAAAAGGTACTTATTTTCCTTTTTAGATGTCCCCCACCACCCTGGCAGCTGCTATTAAACTGTATAAACTAGACATGTTATCTGTTGCGTAAACAAAATTTCTGCATTGACCCAAAGCCTCTGTGTTCAAATAACAACCCCTGCTTATCAGTGTATAGACAGTATTCCAGATTATTGCCAACAACGCTGACTCTTGTGGCTCCCGTCACCGGCTACTCAATAGTTTTTGCCAGGGAATGTGGTGGCACTAAAGCAACTTGCATATTGTTTAATTGAAGGTGAGTCAATAAGCCCAGGTCTTTTCTAACTTTCCTAGACGTCCAATTAATCTTGGATGGGCAAACTAAATATTAGGGTCTAAGAGCTCTAAAGCTGCAATTTGTAAAGTTGTAATCTTGCCTCATTATTACCACAATTGCTGCTGCTACTGCAGCTACCACTGCAATTATTCCTAATATTATTGATGATATCAGCACCATCAAAGCACTGTTTCTACGGGTGTTTCTCTAATTAACACAGTCGTTAATTCCCCGTGTTATTCTTTCTATGAACTGATCAGTGGGGGATTTTGGAGAAAGGGACAGGAAAAAAATGAACGTGTGTTTTCTCTTTGATTTCTTCCTTGAATATCCAGCGTAGATCAGATAGGAAAACTATTCTATCTCAAGGCACCCCCTTCCCCACACTGGTTGCTAGCTACTTCATGATTGCTTTCATACAACATACTAAATCCAGATTAATTTAACTAAACCTGGGACTCGCAGGAGAAATGATATTAATTAAACATGATGGACTGGATATGTCTATAGTCTAATGAAGAGAAAGTCTAGGGGTGACATGATAGCAGTCTTCCATTATTTGAGGAGCTATCACAAAGAAGAGGGGGTCAACCTATTCGCCAAAGAATCTGAAGGCAGAATAAGAAGACATGGATGGAAACTAATTAAGGAGAGATCCAACTTAGAACTAAGTTGAAATTTGCTAACAATGAGAATCATTAATCAGTAGAAGTTGTCGCAGGAAGTTGTGAGTGCTCCAAATTGTGGAAGGGCTTGCTGGTATGTTGGCTGCTACCAGAAACATGTACCAATAATGACTTATTTTTGGCCAATGACAAAGCCAAGAAACTGGCTTCATTCTAGCAGTTTAAAGTTTGATTTAGGCACGGAAGAAGAAGAAGAAGAAGAAGAAGAAGAAGAAGAAGAAGAAGAAGAAGAAGAAGAAGAAGAAGAAGAAGAAGAAGAAGAAGAAGAAGAAGAAGAAGAAGAAGAAGAAGAAGAAGAAGAAGAAGAA